TCTGTTATTTATTTTTCATTTGCTGTATATTTTATTAATATGATGATGTTAATTTATTACATAGCAAGTCACATGAAGGCTGCGCTGGACCATAGGTTTGCACTTGATACAGAAGTATAAAACAGCTTTTAGACACCTTGTCAAGTTAACAGCACTTTAACTTTAAAACTCATCAATGTCAGTTCCAAAACAGTGGACCAATCAGAATTGCAAGCTTTTGTTTACAGACACGCATTGGCTGTGTTCAGATACCTTTGGGCTCTGTGGTGCGCTTTTTTAAAGAATATTCCTGAACTCCGCATCTTGCGTTTTTAGACACAGATTTATTTGGTGCACTAAAAAATAATTCATTGAATTTATTAAATTCTTTTAAGGCAAATGGTTGCAAACCCTGTATATGGGCTGAAGTTAAACAAACGGATTACGTTTGGTAATGTTCAACTTTATTTGTTTAAATTCCGCCCATGTAAATGGTTTGCAACCATTTACCTTAAAAGGTCTTTTTTTATTATTTCTTAATGTGTAGGTGAACCCTTTTGAGTGGCAAAATGCATAACTCTGGAGAACTGAAGATGGCTTGGGGCCAAACAAACCTAGTTACAAGTTGTTTGAGATGGATTCAAAGAAAATTTCCTCTGAACCCATTCAACTCGAGTTGTCAGACACTACTGGACCTTCAAATGGGACAGGAGCTGGCACCTATTGACTTTCATAGTAGAAAAAAATACAATGGAAATCAATTGGTACCAGCATTCTTCAAAATAACTTCTTTCGTGTTTAACGAATGCTCTTTCAAAACTCAAATCAAAACCACATCAGGAAAAATAAATGACGTAATAAAACTTTTTGGGTGCACTATCCCTTTAATGATGTATGCTAGTGATGGTCTGTTTTTCTTCCAGAGTTCAGGGACATATTGTTTAGATGCACAACATTACAGAATACCAACAAATAAAAAATTTAAACATAAGTTGTGTAATAAGTCATTGTTGGTTTTTCCATAATGATTATGATCCAAAACAAATATCAAAGTCAACATAAAAATATCTTATTGAGCACAAAAGTAAGGTTTGGGCCATACCAGTGTCCTGACCTGAACCCTATTGAAAATGAGAGTGTGCTAACATGCAAAACCTAAAGAATCATTTTGTAAGGGGAAAAAAAAAATCTTAATTCTTAATCTCTTTCAAGGTTTCATTATATTATAAAACTTTTATTACATTATAAAAGACACTCAGCCCTGTTATTTTGGTACATGTAGGCTGCAAAAAATACTAAATAGAATAATCTTTTTATAATGAGATTTTCATTTTCTTACACATTTGACAATGTCACATAAATCGGTTCCCCTCAGAGCAGAGTTCAGTCTTTTCCTAAAGAACCACCACCTTCAGACCTCAGTGATTTGTCTTGTTTTTGGTCCTGCGGGTGGAGATTGAGCGACTGTAAGAGTGTTTTATGTGTGTCAGGTCTCCCCTTCGCTCAACCGCCGCTCGATAGTCATCGGTTGCTGTCGCTGAGTTCGTTTTTGACTGTAACAAACCCTATTGACGTTTCTGAGGCCTGATTTCCCTCCTGGTCAAATCCAATACCAAAAACGCTCCAGTGAAATGAGTCAAAAATAGCAGCCACAGTCTCACTGACTATCATTCACTCACACTCTTGTAAAATTGTGAACCTGTTTAGATGAAACTGACTGCATTCTTTTGAAAATTAATATACTTAACATACAATTTAATATACATATTGACTGTATCTGTTTGTATTTATCAAAAAATATTGTATTGCAGTCTATTAAAGCATATTTTCCTCGCTGTTTCTCATATGTTACTACATGTTTCCACTCAGCGTGAAACTGAAGCTGCACAAATATCCAACCTTTCATAAAACGACAACACAATCTCTGCTGATTTTACATATATCCATCACTCCACCCAGCCAAAATCCACTCCACCACCAGGCTCTGCTAAAAGCTTTTCATCACAAGATGTGTCTGTAATTTTCTATAAAGAGTGCTAGACTTCTTTTCTGTCGATTTCCACAGACAGTGATTAGTGTTTTCCGCCAGACCTGGGACAAATGGACACTCAATTTATCATCACCATCAGACCCTCAGCTTGACAGGCACACACACACACATACTGTATAGATATATATAGATGCACATGCTCATTTTTCCACATTATTTCATTTGGCTGCCATACCTGTATTAACCCGGTGGCTTTATTTAAGCTATCAGTCGGCTGTTTGCATCTCTCCTACAGCATTTGCATTTATTATGGGCGCCTGCAGCGAAGCCCTTCTCATTTCACACTTTGAAGCTCCTCTGGGGACGAATGGTGGAGAGAAGATCACTTTGACAGGTTGAGATTGTTTCTCCACATCTGCCGTCAGCTGTCGTGAGCATCTCTGTCCCGCCGTGTGGACGGATGCCTCATGAATGAGCACTTTTACATATGTAGATATCTCGCTGAAATAACCCACTGTATAGATTTATATGAAAACCTGCTACACTGAAAGTAAATTAACAATATTTTATGAATAAGTTGCTTTATTTGGTGTTGGTGATTGTCAGAATTTAATAATATGCATATTAAGGGAGTAACGGTACATAATGTCATGGTTCAGTACATACCTCGGTTTTGAGGTCACAGTTCGATACGGTACAACAAAAATTACAACAAATCTTCAGTCCTTGACTTTTTTGTTTATTTTGAACAGGCAAAAATGTTTTGTTACAATCAGCTAAAGAACTGAAGAGCTTTGTGTGATATTTTGTTTTAAATTTTATTGTTTTTAGATAGGCGAGGCAGTGGCGCAGTAGGTAGTGCTGTCGCCTCACAGCAAAAAGGTCGCTGGTTCAAACCTCGGCTCAGTTGGCGTTTCTGTGTGAAGTTTGCATGTTCTCTCTGCCTTCGCGTGCTCCGGTTTCCCCTACAGACCAAAGACATGTGGTACAGATGAATTGGGTAGGCTAAATTGTCCGTAGTGGATGAGTCTGTGTGTGAATGTGTGTGTAAATGTTTCCCAGAGTTGGGTTGTGGCTGGAAGGGCATCCGCTGCGAAAAAAAACTTGCTAGATAAGTTGGCGGTTCATTCCGCTGTGGCGACCCCGGATTAATAAAGGGACTAAGCCGACAAGAAAATGAATAAATGAATGTTTTTAGATAGTGTGTCAAGATAAAAGTTTCATGCAGTGCCGCTCATCACTGTCAGTTACACAGCAGTTGTCCAATCAGAAATCTTGAAGCTGTGATTCTGTTTACTAAATTGACATGACAACATCATCATGGTGGAACCATTTCTGAGCTCTGCATCAAGTAGGGTCTGTCTATGAACGGCAAGACAGAGGCGTAACATAAAGGGGCATAACTTGAAGTAATGGAGACCCACATGTCAAAACTATTTATTCTGCAAGATTTTGCTGTACATCAGTTATTAATGTCTACACCTACTCTACACCTAAACCCAACCATCACAGTCATTAAAGTAAATACCTATCACAATCCTAAACCCAACCATCATCGTTATAAATGTCTACACCTTCCCCAAACGTTAACCCAACCATCAGATATTAACAACTACAGCAACTCTTAACCAACCATCACAGTTATTAATATATACACCTTCCTCAACCCTAAACCCCAACCATCATAGTTATTAACGTCTACACCAACCCCAATCTTTAACTTAACCATCATAGTTATTAATATACACATGCAAGAGTTGTGGAGGCTTTCATACTTGACGCGCTCGCTATTGTACTGTTATTTGCAACCACAGGGGCCGGCGACGAGTTGGCTGACTGTCATGATAAAATGGATGAAATCAGCAAGTGGAATTGCTAAATAAATTAATATAATATTATATCAAATGATTTGGTTGTGGATAAATTTAGAGAAAACTCATGAAAACATTTGCTGAAATGTTCTCTGGTAAGTATATCCACTATCGTTACGCCCCTTCATGTTGCACCCCAGTCTTGCAGTCCGCAGACAGACACACTTGGCTGCATCTCTTGTTTTCAGACAAAGTGTTGCTATGGTCGTTTCTGCCTAAATCCAGAAAGCGAGTTAACTTTAATATTGGATGACACAATAAATAAATAAAAAATAAAGTCCACAAGAAATCAAAATTTGCCATGTCTTTTTTGTTAGCGCAAATTGTTAGTCTTAAAGGGAACAATTAATCCATGCAAGTTAATCTACAAAAAAACTGTTTTGGTAGTCTTTGGTAATAAACATCAGACTATTTGCTTCTGCTCTGCAATGGCAGTACTTTTCTGATGATGCCAGTTTGACCAATACTGATCATACTATGCTCCTCCAACTGTTAGTTTGCTGCGAATGAAAGATAAGAGGAGGAGGAGGAAATAAAACCCTTCCCAAAATTCTGTTTCAATTGGAAATATGTCATCTTACTGATATAAAATCTGCAGAAACATCTGATTCACAAAGACTTTAAAAACTCAATGGTTCTTGCTCATGTAATGTTCCGGTCACAGTTTACACATGCTGCCTTTATTAAACTGAAGAAAAAAAATCAGGTTAAAGGGAAAGTTTACCTAAACATAATAAATAAAACTTAAAAATCCTGGTTGCTGGCACCTATCGATATCTGTGGTGTAGGAAAAAATACTGTGGATGTCAAAATGTTCCATCTAGCTGCATTTTTCTAAAAGTTTTCTTTCATTTTTAACTGAAAGAAGAAACTCAAACAGGTTTTCAACAAGTAAATGGACATTTAAGTAAAGTAAGAAATTTTGGGTGAAATGCCTCGCTTAAAGCATTTACATGCTTGGCGAAAAACAGCACAAGGTTCTAAAATTAAGCCTTTACAATCAGTTTATGCTTAAGTTGTTAATGACCTTATTCTGCAATAAAGCGAAAATGGGTAAATGTGTTTACATGACCATGTGCTTTGTCAGCTTTTTAAGCATAATGGGGTTAAGAATGTGCATGTAAACTCAAGCTGGATGTGTTTTTGTGTGTCTCCTGCAGGACGCCATGGTTTAATGGCTGGGGGTTTAATCTGCCCAGAGGACAGTCTCTGCTGGATAAGTGGAACCTCATCCCGGAGGGTGTCGATATCCTCATGACCCACGGGCCACCCCTCGGTGAGTGCAGAGAGCCAGAAGAGACATCCGCTCATTTAGAGGCTGTACAGTCAGTGGATTTAATTTAAAGACATGTGAAGCTAGAGGGAGAAGTTACTTTTACTTACTGTGTGTGTTAAAGTTTTTCATTAATATTAACCAAAGTCTCTTTAAGGCAAGTCATTTCACTCGGTGACTATCTTTGAAACGCCTCTCTTACCAAGCTGTCTTGCAGTATGCTCGAGCATTATATCTGAATGGGGAAACAATAAATTCTCCAAAACTGTTTGCCAAGCTCATGATTACATCACATATTTGTAATCACCAATAAAGTTAAACAAACACTTATAGGTTTTATAGGTTTACTTTCTTAAGGTCCGAATCAAACAAAATCTGCATTTTTTTCAGGCTGCTCAAAGCTAATGGGTATGCACACTCGAAAAGAACGAGATCATGACACCAACCTCATTTATGGCCTACATAATTATCATCCTCTGGATAATGATCATCTGATCGTGCTGGTCTTCTGAAGTAATTTACAGCTTGGTCTTGATGGCGAATCTCCTCCAGAAATGACAGCAATTGTTAGTTTACAAGTATGAGGGTGTTTGAGTAGTTGCTGTCATGTGATGTGCATTTGACAGGACGGACTGTCCCTATAGTTCGTTTCATACAGATTACAAAACCAAAAAAAAACCTTTGGTTTTGAAGTGTAGTTGGTTCCTTTAAAATGAGAGATTTCAAGCTTTATTTGGATATATTTCTTATGTCTGTGAAGCAAGTATTCACTGAGATTCCAGTGTTTTCTTGACCACTAAACTTTTAAAAATAAAAGCACGTGTCTGGTCAAAGTTTTTCCCCCGGAGAAACGTCAGTCTATATCGATAGATGATTGGATCTTTTACTAGTAGGCGGGGCTTCATTCACCATATTAACAGCTGCACTTTTCTCCCATTCAAAAATATACGAGTGACACGCCATGTGTATTTTATAGCAGTGGTCCTCAACCTCCAGGCCACGCACCATTACCGATCAGTGGATCAATTGGTACCGGGCCACACAAGAAATCATTATTTCATTTTTATTTATTATCAGAGTCTGAACAATCTTTTATTTTGAAAAAAGTCTGTATTCTCTCGGTTGCATCTCAATCACTTGAGTGCCCAAATTTAACCTACAAGCAGCAAAATGAGTAGGAAACAGACGTCTTTGGAAAGTTTCTTTGCTAAGGGAAAAAGACCCAGTGAAGGACCCACAAACGGCTAAGGAATGTATCCGCAACTCATTTGTCAACAAATCAGGTGAATCCACCATGTCTGTGCAAGAAGATCAACTGATGTAAATCACAAACGACAGCAGCCTTTTAGGGGCCGTTTGAATATTGCATCTTTTCTAGGCATGGGATGATAACTGTTTTCGCGGTATACCGTGGTTTGGAAAAGTCAAGGTTTTAAAATGGCTAACATTTTCTGTAATGCCATTCCTAATGTATGTGTAAGATTTTTTTTATTTACTTTTTTCTGTTGTTGTGTTTGAGGACAACAATATCTCCAGCAGAAAAAAACATATCCCAAGACGCTGTTTTATATTGTAAATAAATCTGTGTTTTTGAAACAAATGAAGACAGCAGAAGTCAGTGATTCATTTAAATTGAATAGCCTGACGTGTTTACTGCTCTAACATATCATAAATCTTTCAAAAAATAGAATATATTGTTTTCAGAGATGAAAAAATGTTTGTTTATTACCCTGACATTTAAAAAGAGTATATTTTAGAGCAGTGAGCACAATAACGTGATCACTGATCACGTATCATGACGTCAGAGTCTTATACCAGCCCATGCCTAGACTTTTCTTGAGTTCGCACAAGTTTTTTGTTTCCAGTGGAGGTGTGAGGCGTGACACACTCAAGCCTTCTAGACGCACCCAGTGAATAATTCCCGCGAGTGCACCACAAGCCATGTGACAAGAATTGACTCTTATATGGAATAGTCACATTTCGGTAGACTAATTATCTCAGACAAACACAGAACACCCAAACACTGCAGCGCTTTTTTCAAAAATAAAACTTGTATCAGAGTGACAGCAATGTTTTGTCAGCTTATCCTCTGAGAAAACGGTTGATGATCGCCTAACAACCTACAATCTCTCCAGTCCGCGGTAAAATTGCGTTGGCCAGTCCGTTATGTTCTGTTGTCTTTGTATTAACTAAAGCTATAAAAATGTTGTCATTACATATAAGATGTTATCATACTGATAAAATTAAAATATAAAAAATAAAAACATTTTAATACATGCAAAAAATATATATAAATGTTAATATCACACAACAAAGTAACAATTGTTTTACATCTTACATTAAAAACTGTCTTTTCTTTATGAAACTATTTTGTTTTTAAAATTTTAGGTGGTTCTAACAACCATTATACAGTTTATGGCAAAATGATTAGCCCTTCTGTGAAATTTGAATGCTTTTTCAAATATTTATGGTGTGATTTGACAGACATTTTCCATAGTAATTCCCCATAGTTTTATTACTTTTAGTTTGGTAAAAAAAATTGTTGGTTTTAAAAAATAAATAAAACTGCTATTGATATTATTAGTCCCCTTAAGATATTTTTTTTCTGATTGCCTTCAGAAGAAACCAATGTTTTCCAATGACTTGCCTAATTATTGTAACTTGATTAATTAAGCTAGTTAATTAAGCCTTTAATCCGCACTTTAAGCTGAATACTACTATCTTGCAAAATAACTGAGTTTTAAAAATCTTCTTCATTAAACAGCACTTGGAAAGTATTGAAGTTCATCATTTTGTTTTGTACCGTACATAGTTACAATTTAAACATAAAAATGACAAAAATGCATCGAAAAATTACATAACATATCATACATAATAACATTTTAAATATATATATATATATATATATATATATATATATATATATATATATATATATATATATATATATATATATATATATATATATATATATATATACACTATATTTCAGCTAGTTTACAAAGTGATATTTCTCATTAGTAAATTTAAGTGCCAAAATAAATAATAAATTAATACACATTTAAAGCACAAACAACTAATAAAAAAAAGAATAAAACCACATTGGGTAATTCAGTGGTGTTAAAGAAGCTCAAATAATCACACAGATGTTTTCTGATTGTCTAGATTTTGAGGTTAAATGATTGAAAAGCAGCTCACACTGTGATTTATATAAAGTGTAGCTCATAAAGTGATTTACTGTGTCTGTGTATGTGTAGGTTTCAGGGACTGGGTGCCGAAGGAGCTGCAAAGAGTGGGCTGTGTTGAGCTGTTAAACACTGTCCAGAGGAGAGTTCGGCCCAAACTCCACGTCTTTGGAGGAATTCATGAAGGTGAGCGACCACAAGGACAAACCCAATGCCACTGCTGTAAAAACCCCAATAAACCACCAGCCGCCCCGCATTACATTGACTTTACTGGGTTTTTTGACAAGACGTCAAGCAAAAGGGTACAGCAGTGGAATAAAATGCATAAGGAGAAAAAAGTTGGCCGGAGATAATGTTACTTATCTCTCTATAGGACAATAATTAATAAAGCTGATGGATAGACAAAATAAACATATTATGTATACTACTGATATATTTACAGATGTTGGGGTTAATTTTTTTTAAGAAGTTAAAAAAGGAGATTTTTTATCTTTATATTCTTTATTTAAAAAAATAGTAATATTGTAAAATAATATTCAAATTTAAAATAGCTCTTGTTTGTTTATATTTATATATATATATATATATAATTTATAATTTTTTTTTACAGTGTATTTTATTTATTTAATGCAAAGCTGAATTTACAGCATCATTATTCCAGTCTTCAATGTCACATGTTCATCTAGAAACCATTCTAAACGTTTATTATTATTATTATTATTATTATTATTATTATTATATTGAAATACTTATGTTGAATTGACAGATCATTTCAAAGCTGCATCAATTAGTTGATCCGTCAGCGGATTGCACGTATGTTGACTCATAGACAGACATGCATTTCAACATTGTAATAATATTAAATGTTTCTTGAGTTTATGAGTGTGGGTGTTTGCAGTGTGGTAAACTGATGACCTTCATGACCAATCATAGTCATATACAGTATGTTGAGCATGTGAACACACCTGATGAAGACCATGTCGGTCGAAACGTTGTAATATTGACATTAAAATTTTTTTGAGAGCTAAAGTGGCAGTGTGCCGATTTACTTTGAATCTTGAGCATGTGAACACAATCAGCACTTATAAACTCACTTAACAGTGCTCAAATGTTAAAATTTTCAGTATCAAAATCAATACTTTTGACAACCCTAGAAGTAAGGCAATAAAAAGACTGTGTCTTGTTGTCTTCAGAGTATCTATAAAAGTATTGCTTTTCTGTAGACCAGCGTTTGCCTCTTCTTATTTACTAATACAGTGTGAATCAGTGGGCGATGCTAACTAGGCAGTGATGTAGAAGTGGGCGTTGATATTATTTTGTGGAGGCGGGATATAGTTGCACTAGTAGATGAAAAAAGCCACAGTCATACTGCACTGTACGCCCCATAGACTTCCATTTAAACACATGCAAATACGGCAGACTGGAACCACAAGCTTGTGCGAAAAGATTTGCATGTCACTGCGTTGCAAAGTTCAAGCTTGGAGAGCTCTGACATGCGAAATCGCATCACGTGATTGCATGAGACCAATAGAAGTTCAAAGCATGACCTCTATATACAGAAATGTTGAATATAGAGCCGTAGCTCACTTTTAATCCCGGCCTTTTTCGCAATGCCATACACCAGTATTTTGCAGGTCTAAAGTACAGAGCACCTTAGTTGTGCGCCTCGCATAAACATTGCTTAATACACACAGGATGTACAGCAATACACAAATATCTTTACAAATGCAAAAGAATCAAAGGATTAAAATATTAGGAAAAATATATATTTTCTACATAAATATAAAAAACTCCGCCTCCATGCCTTCTTCATCTCGGGGGGCTTTTTCAGTTTATTCATGACAACTTGCTTTTGTATTCTGTTATTAGTAGAAGTATTATTTATTATATGCGTATTTATATTTGTTTTATTACATTATTTTATTTTTTAGACCATGTGCCGCGGCGCAAAGTGGATTTTTCTACCGTTAAAATAGCAAAAGTGGATTCTGACACGGCTTTAATACTTTTGCACTCTGCACTTTATATTTTGCATCTAGATGGTCAAAATAGAGCCCAAGTTCTTACTGGCTGGCCTTTTCAATGGTCAGGCATTGGCCAATAAAATGGCTTCACCACCTGCACTGCCCTGCAGTTCTCATCTAACTGCATCTCCAGCCATTACAAAAAGAGCAGCAAAAGTTAAAGTGCTAGAATGTGAACTTTGTATTGCCAGATCTGAGAGTTTGTGAGTGCCAACTTGTGTTTGTAGAGCTGAAAAACTGAAATAAAATGCAAAGGTAAATGTGGCGTTAACAATTGCACCTGTCATTTCGTTTGTGTGAATGACATTTGACCTGTTCAAAACTTTGTATTCAAAGCACAGCTGTTGTCTGTGTGCGCAAATCCAGAGATTCAGCTCTTCACACCAGTTGTGGGTGTAAATTTTAACTTACTAATAATTATTTAAATAAAAAGTACTCACAATCTGATATGCAAGCTCTCGAAACCATAGCTGTGCTAGGTATCCTTATGAAAGGGTCCCAAAAAAAGGTATGGTTCAGTTCGCTATTTTGGTACTTCAAAATAAAACCAAACCATAGCACTTTGTGGAAACAAGTCATTACATGGAATATAATTGAAAGTGTTTGCTTTGTTCTTGAGTCCTTCAAGGCCTTGAGAACACGGAACAAGTTTTTGTGGTGAGTGACACCTTTTTTGAATGGTTTACTAACAGCCGCAAGGGTTTTGTGCATTGCTTATGCACCCTGTCTGCTTTGTGTTTGACTACCTCAAAAATAGTCAACTCTGAGCTGAAAAAAAGTGCACTACATCAGTTTCATCGTCCAATCAAATGAAAGCAGAGGCGGGATTCCGTTGAGGTGACAGCAGTGTTTGTGTTGTCAAGACGACTACGGAGACTTTTCAAGATGTAGGAGAAACTAGTGGTCTCTGTTTCAAGTTATCCGGAGGTGTTCGAATTCACAAATCTTGAATAGCACATATCATTCAATATTACAATTACAGTACGCAACTGATTCAGTCGTTGCCTAGCAACATAAAAATCGCAGCGCACTTCTTTTTTCTTGTCAACAAAACAAAGGCATGTTTTCAGAAAGGAAATGCACATTCGGTGTGATCATACAGCAAGTTTGTCATGTTGACTCTCTCAATGTCTGGTTTCCTGTAGGTTACGGCATCATGACCGACGGGTACACGACATTCATCAACGCCTCTACCTGTACAGTCAGCTTTCAACCCACCAACCCTCCCATCGTGTTTGACCTCCCGAACCCCACCAGCTCTTGAGACACCTGCGAACGGCACCAAATCCTAAAATTCTTTCCTCGAATTTCCTAACAACACTTCGAAAAAAAAAAAGTAGTTGAATGTTTCTTTCCGAAATGGCCATCAAATCTTTTGCGAAAAGATTGAGTGGAAGTTTCCGATGACGGACGAGTACTGTCGCAAATACAAAAGTGGTGAACAATCTAACGAGATCCAGTTTAATCTGTAAAATATTAAGCTTTGTGAATTTGTAAAATTGTCTCTCTCTTTTTTTGTCAATATTCGAAGTATGTTGCTATGGGACGCCATTGTTTGTTTTTGTATATTCTTTTTGTTTTTCAGGATAATTAAGCTTTCTTTTAGCTGACAGGGATAATGCCTTAAACTAGCTTTAAGTTCCCCTGGCTGGAGCCCCTACTTTTCTGCTAGCGAAGAGAAAGCGTCATATTTATTGTTTTTATCCAAAACTAAAGGGGATTTCTCTCTCTCTTTCTCTCTCTCTCTCTCTCTCTCTCTCTCTCTCTCTCTCTCTCTCTCTCTCTCTCTTTCTCTCTCTCTTTTGCATTCAAAGAATACTTTCTTATACAAGCGCAGGGAAGACATGGATGCATTTTAACTCATGTATATTCTGGAGCGCCTCATTCTGCATAGGAATTGGAAAATGTCTTAAAATATGAGTATATCTATATGTGTGTGTGTGTGTACGCTGTAAAATCTCTAACTAAACTTGTGTTCGTTCGAAGCCTCTTGAAGAATATCATTTTGCCTGTAAGTGATGACTTTAACTTGACGAGCTCTTTCTGTTTTCACGAACTGTTCCTCTGAAGCTCATTCAGTGTTGCCTACTTAATAAACGAGTACTCCAGTTGAAGTTCTTTTAATGTACAATCTCAAAGGTTGTTTTTTTTTTTTTCTTCTCATTCTTCTTCAAGCCTGCCCAAACCAGGTTTCGTTGTCCTTTTGATATCTTGCGTATGGTAGTTTTGTTTTGTTTTTTTGTAATTTTGCACTGTGTAAATGCAGTCTTGCTAGCACAAAAAAGATGTTGCCAATAGTTGTTTGAATTCTGTAAATGCCTCTGCTTTTTCTTTGTTACAGTTTCATTCCTGGAGAAGTTTAGATGCGTTTCCAGTTTTGTTTGGGTTTTTTTCTTCTTCTTTCTTCAGGTTTCATTGTGATATATTTAGCTGCCTTTATATGCAAATAAAATTGCAAGATTTTTACTTCTAAGGGTTGTGATTGGTTCATTTCATCTGGGTTTTATTATAAACGAAAACTCAAATTATTAAAACAAAATTATTTGTGTTATTTGAAATAGCTTCTTAAAAGTGCGGTAGGTGATTGTCTTCGGAGACGTGTTTTGTTGTGCTGGTTAAAAGTCTCTTCACATTCCGATAGTAATGATAAAAACTGTTCACGCAGATCCACCGTTTGCACATTCACATGCACATAAGAGAGTGACAGCAGTAAAAACAAATGCTGAATCAACACTTTAAAAGAGTTACTTTTGCACGCTGGAGGAAGGATGACACCATGGCTGAAGGATTTCTGTTAGACAGGTAATGTTTTGTTTTAAAACCATTTTAGTCACACAGAGCTGATGTAGATTGTGTTGTTATGAATAGGTTATATGCACAAAAGTGTTGTTCAGCCACTGAAATCTTCCAACGATAGATTATGAGACTATTTCTGTTTTATAAGGGCCTTTTACAGCATCGATAATGTAGATTTTTATTTAGTTTAACAACAAAACATCAATAAATAGCGTTATTCTGCCTAGCCTGCTTTACTGAGGTGAAGTTGGTTTTATATTTACATCGGTTCATTTTTGAACAAAAACAGCCTGTCACACGCTCTCTATATTTTTTACCATGCTACTCTGAAAATTCAGTCTGAAATAGCATGTAAGTATGGCTTAGTAATGTGTAAATTCTGCACCCCGCAGGTCAACCACTAAGCATACAGTAGTTGCTTTGGGGCAAACAGCGTGAGAGAGTGAGACCAGCGATTCTTGCATGCATGAAATATTGCACATTATGGCAAGTTCTGCTTGTTGCATTACTGTAAACGTGCTAAATACAATACAGTTTTTGTTCAGAATTGTAGTATTAAAAAATACTGTAAAGTTTTGGAAAATGACATGATCTAGTGCAGTGTTTCTCAACCACGTTCCTAGAGGACCACCAGCTCTGCACATTTTCTATGTCTCCTTAACCAAACACACCTGATTCAGACCATCAGCATCATTAGACTGAAAGACCTGTATTAGGTGTGATGGACAAAGGAGACATCCAACACATGAAGTGCTGGTGGTCCTCCAGGAACGTGGTTGAGAAACACTGATCTAGTGGGTTGACTGCTGTCATCTTTAAGGTGCGCATTCATGTTTTCAGGAGGCGTGGCTTTGAACAGCAGAGGAGGTAATATAAAGATAATATCTTTCAAACATATGCTAACTAATAGCATTTTGGCAGATCACCCACTGCATCTTTAAATTAAAATACTTTCAATCTTATTCCATTAATTTAACTTGATTAATTAAAAAAAATAATAATTAAGTTAATACATTTTTAAAAATTGTATTTGTTTTACCATAAATCAGCAAAAATTATAAATGTAAAAAAAAATACAAAATGTTTAAAATAAACAAATGTAAGTAATAAAACAGTTTTATTGACAATTCTCAATCAGAGAGGTACAACAAGTGAGGGAAAGAAAAACCACAACACATTACTTTCACAGTGTAAAAAAATACTGAGTGGTAATTAACACATTCCTTACTCTCTGAACCATATTGAGATGGAAATAAAGTAAACAACAACAAAAAAGAAACAAACAAATCAGTTTCAATGTTTAGCAGTTTATTAGACAAGTAATATTTAACACAGTTTATACCGCCGCTAGATGGCGCCACTAACTCTGTTTAATGCTCTTGTGTCCACAGAATATATACATTTTCCTGTAATTTAGTTGACTCTTTATTCACTCATTTTCTTTTCGGCTTAGTCCTTTTATTAATCTGGAGTCGCCACCCAGCCTAGGCTCGAACCAGCGACCTTCTTGCTGTGAGGCGACAGCAGTACTTACTGCACCAACGCGTCGCCCTTGACTCTTTATTTCACGTGATAAATAAACTACTATTCGGTCAACAATTCCAACTGTTTTGAGCCATTAAACTGTTTAAAGGCCTTAAAATATTAAGCCCAGTTGAACTGAGTAGCCTAATTTACTTTTTACATTTCACCCTGAAAAAATATTATTTAGTGCTGTAGCTAACTAAATAAATGACATAAGAACAGATGATTTGCAGATCATAATAACAAATATGCATCCTAGCTTCATTGATAATGTACATAGAGCACACGTGGTCGTTACATGCAATTATGAGTGCGCAAAAAGTGTGCAAAGCCAGACATTTACAACGAATTCATAATCGGCGGCTGCCTCATACGCACATATTATAGGTCTACACATCATCGGTACACACAACAGCCTAGGTAGGTCTACAATTACATGCCTAAATGACGTCCAGAATGAAGCCGTTACTGCTCCTTCTTGTGCACAATGATGAACACTGAAAGAGCAAACCATCAGGTCATCTGCTTTCATGACGATGAACCTCACGATGACACCACCCAATTTACGCAATTCACAGCCTCATTGAGCTCGGAAAATACTAAAATCCATATTTATACAGACGAATCACATCCATGCTTGCTTATCACACCACAGTGGAATGAACCACCAACTATTCCAGTCAGAACATGTCGTACTTGGTGAAATCAGGTTGGAAACCAGAGTACCCAGAGAAAACCCATGCAAACACTGCGAGAACATACAAACTCCACACAGAAATGCCAACTATTCCAGCGGGAACCTTTTTGCATTGAGGCGACTGTGCTAACCGCTGAACCACCGTGCCACCCTTTGTCGATCATTTATTCTTTTTCTTTTGGATTAGTCCCTTTATTAATCTGGGGTCGCCACTGCGGAATGAACCGCCAACTTATCCAGCAAATGTTTTACGCAGCGGATGCCCTTCCAGCTGCAACCCATCACTGGGAAACATCTACACATATCTATTCACACTCATACACTATGGACAATTTAGCCTTCCCATCTCACCTGTACCGCATGTCTTTAGATTTGTGGGGGAAACCGGAGCACCTGGAGGAAACCAACGCCAACACGGGGAGACCATGCAAACTCCACATAGAAACACCAACTGACTCAACCGACCTTTGTTGTTTCAACTCATTTTAAATAAGTGGTTTGAACAAGCAGCAAAGTTCATTGTTTGAGTGTATGAAATGCCCTTCTTTCTGTGCAAGTCATCCTAACAGCGACATAATTCAACTGCATTCTTCAACACGCAACCTGGAAAGATCTTTTACCTCCCCCATGCTAGAAGGACCTCCGGTGAATGTACATTTTCACGCTCACTGAAACCTCGATCACATTTATCTCTTTGTAATCCAATTTAAGGTGCGCATGAGCCAACGGTTTATGCTGCGAGTTAGAAAAACCGCCAGCGTTCTCTGGCCTTGGAGTCAAAGTGAGATCTCTTTCCGTCAATCTGAATCCCTCCAAGGCCAAAAAGAAACAGCCGAGAATATGCACTTTTCCACCCTCCCCCATCCGGCTCACAGCAGTCACATCAAAGGCTCCAAACCAATTAACACTTCCCCCAAACGAGAGCATGAAATACAGCCGCGGAGTCGCTCGCTGGCATAATCCACATAATCATATTAGTATAACCCTGTGAGCTGGCAGCCGGGCACTGACACTTCTGCCTTCTCAAACCCCAGTTAGAGAGAAACACCTACAGCATCTCCGTTTTTAGAGGACAATAGTGTAACACCTTTTTTTTTTTCATTTTCATCACAAGGATCGAGCAGTCAAAATTGCTATCAGGTTGCAAACATGTTTCAAGAGCAAAAGTTAACTTTGACATTTTGCTATATGAGGTTTTATTAAGTGTTTCGAGAGATGGTTTGCATATTCAGTTGCTAAGAGACATTACAGCCTGATCTCACTAGGAAATGTAAGTATTTTACGTTTTGTCAGTTTAGTGGTGAATTTGTACAATTCGT